AGACCCAAAAATGTATACACACTGTGAATAATTATAAAGGCAGTGTTTATTAAAATACAGTTCATTTTCAAAATTGAGCCATCTGCTGTTAAAGTTTGTATACAACTTTTTGGGGCACCCTGTATGTTCAAAGAAACTAGCAATACTATTGCAGATCAAGCAGAAGGTTAGCTTTCTTCTTGTATATGTTAAATTGGAACCAAACATATACATATTTGACTTTTCAAACTTAAACAAGAAAAATGTGGATTCGAGTTGTGAAATTTATTGCACTGTGATATTTTCAAAAATTCACTATATTTTCTAATTGGTTCTTCTGACCTCTATTTTTTAACTTTTAATATGCAAAACATTTGTGAATCATTGAGATATATCTTCAAAGTGGACCAAAAATAACTCAGTAACAAAAAAAAGAACACATTTCAGCTTCCATTCTATTCAACCTGAGCCACGAGGAGCTTGCTCCGTGCTCTGAGCTGAATGTCTGCATCCCCGGCCCAAACCCAGGTGCTGACACCCTAACCACCAAGGCGAGGTGTCTGCAGGCAGGTTTGGGAAGGTGGTGTATCATGCGGGTAGAAACCTCATGAATGAGACCAGTGCCTATGAAAGAGGCTCCAAAGAGATCCGTCCCCCTCCTACCGGCCGAGGACACGAGAAGTTGTGACCCAAAAGGGGGTCTTCGTCAGCAAGTGCCCATCCTGGCACCCTGAGCTCACTCAGCCTTCCAGCCTCGGAAACGGTGAGAATCAATCCCACTGTATGAGCCCCCAGGCTGCAGCATCTGGTGCTCGCGATCCAACGAGCTGAGACGCTGTTATTCCAGCGCTGCAATCAGTCCTCCTCACAACCTGCATCAGCCAGACAACGCCGGCCTCAAGCGCATCAGGTCCTGGGACAGGTGCTGAGGCTACCAAGGTCAATGGACTGCCCACAGGCCCTGCTCCCACAGGGCTGCCCACAGGCCCTGCTCCCACAAGGCTGCCCACAGGCCCTGCTCCCACAGCTGCGAGGAGAGCTGCTAAGTAGCTGTGATGCCAGGAAATCAGTGCCCTGGCTCACCTTCCATTCCAGCTGAACTTCTCCAGCGAGTTCTCCACATCAGCTGTGAAGACCACCCACTCCCCATTCCTCACTCTGCTCCCTGTGGGGAGCATCGCTGCGGGGCCAGGGTCACAGACTGGGCGACTAGGCCCGGTGCAAAGCCGCCTGCTTATCTCACTAACTCCTGCAGCACTCAACACCGCCGCCACTTCCTCTCCGGGCAATGTCCTTCTCACTGTTTCTGTTTTAACCCTGCCTCCCTGATCATTCCTTCCCTCCTTTTGGGGTCATCCCCTCTGACTTAGCCTTTAATCACCGCAATCATTAAAAACTTATTCCATTGGTCTATATGTCTGTTCTTGTGCCAGTACCAGGCAGTTTTGAGAACAGTGGCTTTGTAGTTCAGCTTGATATCTGGTATTGTGATCCCTCCAACTTTGTTCTTCTTTCTCAGGATTGCTGCAGCTATTCAGGGTCTTTTTTTATTCTAGATGAATTTTTGGAGAGTTTGTTCTAGGTCTTTGAAGTATGCTGATGGTATTTTAATGAGGATTGCATTGAATCTATAGATTGCTTTGGGTAGTATGTACATTTGGAACAGAGAGAACCCAGAAATCGACCTAAGCCATTATGCTCAATTAATATTTGACAAAGAAAGCAAGAACATACAATGGAGTCAAGACAGTCTCTTCAATAAATGGTGTTGGGAAAATTGGACAGATATGTGCAAAAAAATGAAACTAGACCACCAACATACACCATACACAAAAATAAACTCAAAATGGATAAAGGACTTAAACGTAAGATGGGAAACCATAAAAATCTTAGAAGAATCCATAGGCAGCAAAATCTCAGACATATGTCATAGCAATAGCTTTTACGATACAGCTCCTAGGACAATGGAAACTAAGGAGAAAATAAACAAATGGGACTACATCACAATAAAAAGCTTCTGCACAGCAAAAGAAACCATCAACAAAACAACAAGAGAGCCCACTGCATGGGAGAACATATTTGCCAATGTTATCTCCGATAAGGGTTTAATCTCCAAAATTTAAAGGGAACTCATACAACTTAACAAAAGGAAGACAAACAATCCAATAAAAAAAATGGGCAATGGACCTAAATAGACACTTTTTGAAAGAGGACATAAGAAAGGCCAAGAGACATATGAAAACATGCTCAAAGTCACTAATCATCCCAGAGATGCAAATCAAGACGACAATGAGGTGCCATCTCACTCCTGTCAGAATGGCTATCATCAACAAATCAACATATGACAAGTGCTGGAGAGGTTGTGGAGAAAAAAAAGGAACCCTCGTGCACTGCTGGTGGGAATGCAGACTGGTGCAGCCACTGTGGAGAACAGTATGGAGTTTCCTCCAAAAACTAAAAATGGAACTTCCATTTGACCCAGTGATCCCACATCTAGGAATATATCCCAAGAAACCAGAAACACCAATCAGAAAGGACATATGCACCCCTATGTTCATAGCAGCACAATTTACAATAGCTAAGATTTGGAAACAGCTTAAGTGCCCATCAGCAGATGAGTGGATTAAAAAACTGTGGTACATCTACACAATGGAATACTACACTGCTGTAAAAAGGAAGGAACTCCTACCATTTGCAACAGCATGGAGGGACCTGGAGAGCATTATGTTAAGCGAAATAAGTCAGTCAGAGAAAGATAAATATCACATGATCTCACTCATTTGTGGAATATAGAGAACAACATAGACTGATGAACAAAAACAGATCCAGAGACAGAGAAGCATCGAAAAGACCATCCAACTTCAGAGGGAAGGCGGGGGGGTGGGGGGGAGGTAGGGGATCAACCAAAGGACTTGTATGCATGCACATAAGCATAACCCATGGACACAGACAGTAGGGGGTGAGGGCATGTGCTGGGGTGGGAGGAATGACTGGGGAGAGGTCAATGGGGGGACAGGCGACATATGTAATACTTTAAACAATAAAGAATTTAAAAACCTTAGCCATCGTCTTCTTTTCTCTCCTCTCTCCCCAGGCCCTTGATTAGCATGTGTGCGCTAGAGAGTGTCTGTGTATGTTTCCAGGCAGCCCTGACTTTGGAGTTACCCTCTCATTCATACAACAGTCCTCTCAAATTCTCCTCTTGGATGTTTCAAAGGAATGTCAAACTCACTCGTCTGAAACCGAGTTCATCACTGCTCTCCTCCAACCACCCTCCTTTGCCAGTTCCTGCCTCCAATCCCAGTCCAAACGTCACTTCCTCCGACAACTCCATGCAGGACACTTGGTCCATCACTGTGTGTATAACCCTTTGCACAGTGTCGATAACATAAAACGGGGTCAGTACACGCTGGATCGGAAAGAATGAACAATCTATGGAAACAGGAGGAACGTGCCGTTCCGTTTGTCTGGAACTGCCAGTTTAATGGATGATCAAGATTTTGTCTAATATAAAGGGAGTCAGAAGAGGAAACAAACTAGACACAATGGAGTATGAAATATTTCAGGATAATAGATCTACAGAGCAAAGGGCATGGTGACGTGGAAACTGGAAGTTGGGAGGTGGGGTGGGGATAGTAACAAGGGAGGAGAAGGAGGGTTGGAGAAAGACCTGAAAAGTTAGGTTCTGACCAGGGTGTGAGAAGTCTAAACTTTGTCCTACAGGCAACAAAGAGCCACTGAATGTTTATTGAGGCGAGATGACTATATTTTAGAAAGGATGCTGTTCGTTATTAAGCTATTGGCTCTCATCTGCAATCCAGCCTCCCCCCTGGGCTCTGCGATGTCAGAGCTGGGACTCTGCAAGCCGCTCCTCTGCCAGCTGGTTCTGTTGGAGTCTCAACAAGGGAGGTGAGGGGAACTGGAAGACAGAGAAGGGCAAGGAGCTCCTCCTCTCTGCTTGCGTTGTGTCTGTCTGGGTCACCCTGCCACGTGGGGCACCCAGGCATCTGATGACCCTCCCGCAACCAGCCCCCCAGGCAGTGCCTTCCCCCAGGTGTGGGCCTCCACAGCCTTTCCTTTAACCTCCGAGTTCCTGAACCCCGGCTGCAGGCTCCTCCCCCAGCCCAGGGATGGGGCAGGGCTGCAGCGGTCCCTCTGCTGACCCTTCTTGTTGGGTCAGTTCGCGCATCACTGCTAGTCAGCACCTCCTCCCTTCTCCACGTGGAACCACCGTGTGACGGCTGAGGTTCTGGATGGCGCACACGTTGCTGTGGGTCAGAAAACGGAGTCGTGGGAACTGGAGCTAGAAGACCATGACCTTAGACTTGTATGCACGCACAGAAGCATAACCCATGGACACAGACAGCAGGGTGGGAAAAGTAGAGAAAGTCAGTAAAGCTGTTAAGAGTGATCATAATGATAAAAATAGTAACAGCTGTATTTATGAAGCACATCAATATACCAAGAGCTGCTGTTAGGTCCTATGACAGAGGTACTACCTTTATTTCCTATGATATGGGTCCTTGTATTTATTTCCACTGTACAGACACAAAAATTGAGTCCCAGAGAGATTTTCACTGACGAACGGCAGGTCACATGGAAAACAGTGGTGAAGACAAGATAAACCCATCCCTCTGGTTCCCAAGGCCTTCCTTTTAACAACTGAAATGGAGCTGGTTCCTGAGTTACTTCTGAGAAAGAAGCCATCGTGTTTAAACAGTCATTCAACAGAAAGGACTGTGCAGAGGAAGGAGTCAAAAGACCAGAACCACCTCAGAGACGCCGGTGTGGTGCCTGGTTAGATGATGAGGTGACGACTGCAGGGGGTGATGTTAAAGGGCAGGTTTGGGTGCCGGGAGAAATCACTCAGTTTTGCGCTGTGGGCATCTGAGGAGTGATGTCAGCTGGAAGCTGAATCTGAGTCGGTCCTTTAAAATGGTTGACACAACGATAAGGAGTTGCCAGCTTTCCTAGTCGATGCCAGGGAAAGGCCCGAGAGCAGCTGGCAGTGCCGTGAGGGCGGCCCTGGGGGCACCGCGAGCAGCGCGTTCAGGCTCAGCATCAGCCTCGGGGCTCTTTCCTATGGACAGAACAGCAGAGTCCCCGGAAGAAACATATAGTGAGTAGGGGGATGGGGACCTGGAGACAAAAGGAAATGCCTGTGTGACACACAAGAAAAGCATGAAACTATTCAGGAGGTTTTGTGGGTTGTTGTTGTTTTTTGTTTGTTTGTTTTTTAAGGAAACACAAAGAAGAGGAAAAAGAAAGATAGAGAGTTTCAAGCAAAATGCTTCCGTTTCTACACTGAAATGCAGGATCCCCCGGACTGCTTATCCGCCTTCCAGTGATTTGGCGGCAGAAAATGGGATGACATCAGCAAACCAATCCCTAGCCGAGTGGAGTGAGTCACATTTTCGTCTGTTTTCACTTGATTAAAATATATTACATTTATTGAGCTTGGGGGCGGGGGGCGGGGGGAGAAACACAGAGGAAGTCATTGAAAGTGGAAAATTGGAAGTCCAAATATGGCTTGTTTCTGACTCACCAGAATTGCAGCAGCAGAAGATCTAATAACTGTGATTTTAAAAGACTCTTTTTTAAAAAACTTGTATTCAAGAAATAGTTCCCCAAATCAGAGTGCTTTATGGCTTTCTTCAACTTTGAACTTCATATCAGAGACAAACCCTAAGTATGGGTAATTTTCTATAATGCTTTAAAAAAACATAAAGATCTTGTAGGAAAACTGGGTGACATTGAATAGCCCCCGGTCTTTGTGGCTTATTTTGTTCGGAGGGGTGAAGGCTGCGAGCGTCGATGGCTCAGATGCATCGCAGCATTCAGGTCTTGGGAGCAGAGCAGCAGGAAGGGGGGTGAGGGTGGGCGGAGATCTGGTCTTCACAGGGATCCTCGCCACGTAATCTGCAAACAGCCCACTTCCTGGCGAACGTCCGCTCACTGGTCCGTCTGTGATTTTTTTCTTTTACTGTAGTTGCTAACACCGACCTTCAGGTCTCTTCACAAGAGAGATTTATAATCGGGCAGAATCCCTGGAAATGAAATCCCTGGCCGCTGGCGTGAGGCAGTCATGTTCCTCAGTGTGTGAATTATTGCGAGGCTCAATTATATAAACGCGGGAAGGCTCCAAGTTCTAAGACAGTGCATACACCTTAGTATTGTTTGTTTCCTAGATCACAGCATGCAGAGATCATCTGGGAATGGGAACACACTGTATATTTTTTATATTTATTTTATTTAGTTTTTAAATATATTTTTATTGATTTCAGAGAGGATGGGAGAGGGAGAGAGATAGAAACATCAATGATGAAAGAGAATCACTGATTGGCTGCCTCCTGCACGCCCCCTACTGGGGATCTAGCCCGCAACCCAGGCATATGCCCTTGACCGGAATCAAACTCTGGACCCTTCAGTCCGCAGGCCAACGCTCCATCCACCGAGCCAAACTGGCTAGGGCCACACTGTATATTTTAACTATAAACAATGAGAGACACTTTCCACTCTGACCCCTCCTGTCACACTTCCCTCAGAGCCCCGCAGTGTGGGAGCGGCCCCTGGCATTGTGGGGATCCGACTGAAAAGCGAGCTGAGTGTACACTTCCTTTTCATTCAGTGGATGTGTGCATGTGGTTCAGTTCACCCCACAGAGAGCGGAGACACCGCTAGCAGGCCTGCGGAGGACTGGCTTCTGAAATACTCCTGCCCATTGTGCCGACCGGCCCCGCAGCAAAGGCTCAGGGCTGGAACGCATACTAGTACATGGACATGAACAGGCCCGCTGGTCATTGTAATAAAAATATGTTGGTAACGGAGAAGAAACAAGATCTGAAAGGTCTGCAACCGGAAAAGGCAAACGGGAAGTCTCTCCCAGCAGCAACGTGTCCGATAGTTCCGTGCGTGTAATCACAAACCTGCACACACATTCTTCTGGTTCTTGGTGAGAAGCACAGAAGTAGAATTATCAGTTACCTCTGTTAAGAGGATGCAACCTGCAGCAAAAGTATGGCAGGGCAGCTCAGCTGGCATGGCTCAGTGGTTAAGTGTTGACTTATGAACCAGGAGGTCACGGTTGGATTCCCGGTCAGGGCGCATGCCCAGGTTGCAGACTCATTCCCAGTGTGAGGCGTGCAGGAGGCAGCCAATCAGTGATTCTCTCTCATCATTGATGTTTCTATCTCTCTCCCCCTCTTCCTTCCTCTCTGAAATCAATAATACATTTATGTGTGTGTATGTGTGTGCGCGCACTCACATACACAGATATGTGTGGTATTTCAGGGTATAAAAATGCTAATTTTATACATTTCAATGTATTGGATTATATTTTAGTGTACCTGTTTTATCTCATTTTGCCAGTCTGGTTCTTTCAAAGCAAACAAAATGTGAAATTTCACCAATGCAGCAAAATTGCTTGGAAAAGTAACAAAACTATTGTGCATGTAAAATCAGTATGTTTAGTACAATTGTAGAGCTTAATACAAAGGAACAGCCATTTCAGTGGCACTTATTCCTCTTCTTCAGGCCTCACTTTTAGATTAGTTGTGTGTGCTCTTCAATACCAACATCCAAATACAACAGAAAGGAAGGATTCTAGTAGAAGCCAAAAACATTGACTTAAAAAAGACTGGCTAAAATTCAGTTATGGCATTTGTCAGGTTCTCATATTCAAATCTATTATTTCTTTTTTTTATTCTAAGTAAATATTGACTCTCATACCACATTTGTATTTGTAATTTCACTCTTTTTCTTATATAAAACCTCTTGAATAAGTGTCAGGCCCCACAGAACCTGAAAGCATTCCTATGTGAGGGCAAAAATGAAGTGGGCGAATAAAATCATCATAGTCATGGTGGGAAGATGGAAATGATAACACATTTAAATGTAACTTAGAAAGAACAGAATGAAAGGTACCAGAATTGGTGATGTCATGGTATTTCGAGCTATAAGTAAACCAGGGAAGTATGTAGTTTAACCTTTTGATTATCAAGTATTTGAGATTTTTTAAAAAGTAAGCAACTTGCATGGCTACACAACAAGTAGGCCCGAGAACGGCCTGGGAATGGGGCTGACCTGCCACGGCAGCAGACAACACGGGCCAAGCCCGGGGGCCCTGAGAGCCAGCGTGGGCTCTGGACGGCCCTTCCTCAGAAGGCCCACACTCAGTTCTCTGCTGCATCTCAGGATTCTTAAGAAGTTTAAAAGGGCGGGGTCCACATTTCACTTTGCACTGAATCCTGCAAATGGTGGATCTGGTTCTTACGAAACACACATGGCCGCTACAGGCCATGTGGGCCGAGCTGCAAGCCTTCACGCCTGCTGGCTGCCCTGGCTTCAGCTGCAGCCGGGGGTGGCCTCTGGGAGTGAAGCTCTGCAGCAAGGCCCACCCTGCAGGGCTGGCAGATGGGCAACAAGGCCATCCTGAGGAGGCACAGGCAGCCGCGCCCCAGTCCCACGGACCCAGGCCCACTCACCAGGCCCACGCACTGCAGGCCCCATGTACCCAGGCCCACGAACTGCAGGCTGCGTGGAGATCTCATCGCAAGACTTGGAAGATAACTTGAGTTGCCGATGTTTTCCTTCCGCATTACGAGTAAGGACAGGTTCCCAGGGAGTCTCCACCATTTTCCAGTCATGCCGTTTCTTAGTGAGAAAATTCCTTAGTGAAAAATCTCAAAGTTATATGAAAATTATGCCTTCCACTTTGTTTCGATTGTATTGTAAGTTGGCAGCTTTAACAAAAACCCAGTGCATCACAGGAAAAAGACAACCACTGAGTTTCTGAGTGCTAAGGCACCACCTCTCCCACATCAGCCAAAACCAAGAGCATTTTCAGCCTCTGTCTTCTGAAACCAAATTTCACTTACACTGTGTCAGAGAAAGAAGTATTTCAGGAAGATCCTGAATTTCAGGGATTCCGGAAACACATCCGTCATCTTGGTTATGAACCGGAAATGCACCACCGGCAGCTGCAGTGAGAAGGGGACCGGCTCCGTGCACACAGGCTGGCGTCCCGTGGGTCATGTCTGATGCTCTCTGGTGTGCAAGCAAGACCACCGCATGGGAGCGCTCCCCGCCGCTCTGACCCTGCTCCTCTCACACGTCACTTCTTCCTTTCTAACTTACTCCTCACGTTTGTTCTTTTCATCGCCTGCCGCCTCCCTCTACAGCAGCAGCTGTATGTTTCGTCAGCTTTGTTCTCCGTTGCGTGCCTGCTACGAAGAAAAGCGGCTAACCCCCAATCGCTGCTGGAAAGTAAGTTGCTGAATGAATGAAGGGCTAAGTCTGTAACCTTTCTAGAATCATGACTAAAAACAAAGTCCTTAAGTTCACATGCGCATAACTAGCAAAGGCCGAGTGCTGTTCACTGTAGCTCAGCAGACATCAAAATACATCGTTCACTAGCCTAAAGCTCAACTTGCTTGTGGATGATTAAACCGGTTATTGTCATGTTTTTGTTGCAGTCTAAAGGCTTTCTTAAATAGCTGAGAAAAGTTTAGAAAAGTTATTCTGATTTTTTTTTTCAAATAGCAAAAGATCTGGAGAATAGTATCGTGCGATAGTGATAGAACTTGGTTTCTATTTTTCTGATCAGGATATGAAGACCTTGTCCTTCGCTAAGACCCAGGAACTCGAATCCTCAGGTACAAGGGTGAGAGCGTGAGAAGAAATGCCAACAGGAAGGGTAGTAGTCATGCTCCCAGTAACACTGGAGGCACATGTTTGGTAAAGAAGCCTATATTCAAACATGACACCTGCTTCACCAAAAGGTATTCATTCACGAAATGGAATTAGATGTGCTGACATTTTTAGGTGGAAAAAGGAGGGCAGCACATGAAGCTTAAACGGGAGCAGCTCTGGACTCTTGTAGGTGGGGCTTCCCCATTCCAGTAGAGCAGCTCCCACAAGAAACCCGTTCACGGTCTCATCCTCTGCCTTCCCCTCTGCTCCTCCCTGAGAGCAGGGTAGACAGTGCCTGGCAACATTATAAACGTTGCCCTGAAATTTGACAAACTAAGAATGCTAGCACCCCACTACCACTTCAGTGTCTACAGCTGGAATATTCTACAATGTGGATCTATTCAGACGGAAGCTGAAGGGCATTTGGCTTCTGAAATATGAGCCTGTTCATGAGACATTCACACCATAGCCTGAGTCCATTCTGAGTCGTAGCCTCTAATTTCTAGAGCATTACTGGAATTAAGCATTTAATATAACGCCACCCTAGTTCAACTGATCCGGCACATCACTAGCACTTTGCTGCATTACTGTTTGCTCTTATTCTCAAAGAGATTCGAACAGCAGAGTAAATCCAGCTAAGTGTGCTTTAGAGTGAAAGCCCAATGACCACAAACGGTGGTGTCCATCAGAGTCATCTAAGATGACTGATGAAATGGAAGTTCTTAGGCCTCTTTCCCAGAGATTCAGAATTAACAGGCGGGGGCTATGGTCCACATATTAAGAAACTTTGGAACAGACACCTATGAATTTCAAACTTTTTTAAATGTTAGAAATAGCATTAGAAACACTATTATGTAACACAGATAAGGAACGTTCAATGGATAAAAGTATTTCCAAGTGTGATTTTTTTCATAATCTACTAATACTTCCAGGTCAGCAAAATTGACGTCAGATCTCCTAGACCAGCTGCAGCCTCCTCTCCAGGAAAAGTGCCAGCTCAGGTTTGTTCTCCAGAATCGAGAGAAACATCTGTGCGCGAGCAAATGCCAGAGCAGAAATGACTGGGTCACTTCCTTCTCAGGCCACCAGGCAGACGGGTCCTCAGAGAACCGAGACTGGGCACTGGAAAAACCACTTACGGTCTTGACTTCGGGCCACTGGACGCTGGCCAAGGCAAACCCGCCTGCTTTCCTCCTCAGAAGGGGCAGTCGTGTTTGTAGTTTCAGAAAGGAAATCACCGATGCCCAGCAGAGAGCCTCCCAGAATCCCACGCTCAGCTCTGCCACAGAGCAGGGCCCAGCCCCACGGAGCGTGTGGAGACCAGATCCCAGGCCGCAGTGAGTCAGCCCTGGCCTGAGGCTGCTTCACGGGGGTTGCTCTAGGCCAGTGGTTGGCAAACTGCGGCTCGAGAGCCACATGCGGCTCTTTGGTCCCTTGAGTGCGGCTCTTCCACAAAATACCACATGCGGGCACGCACGTACAGTGCGATTGAAACTTCATGGCCCATGCGCAGAAGTCGGTATTTTGTGGAAGAGCCACACTCAAGGGGCCAAAGAGATGCATGTGGCTCACGAGCCGCAGTTTGCAGACCACTGGTCTAGGCTGAGGAATTCTCATTTACTGAGCACTCGGATTCCCAGGATGAATGTCAGCAAACTCGTGGATAACAGGCAAGGACTCTAAGTAAACAGATCCTTCATTTCAATCAAAAAGCTCAAACATCTGGGTTTTCTCCAAGGCAGCCCCGCTGACTTTATATAGCCCAGCTCTATAAATTAGTTTTGTACTAAAATATCTTACTATCTGGTGTTTACTGGAAAATAAATTTCTCCAAATGACAGCACACAAGAAACCTCTGCCCAAAGAACTACCAAGTGAAGGGGAGCCATCCTGGAAGACCACCTTTCTCACCCAGATTTAAAGTGTTTTCCTCCCAAACCATGTCATGCACAGGTTCGGTGTAACGAACCGTATGTCCCAACAGTATTCCATGCATGTAGCCAGTCCGGCCTACACTGCCTAACCCGCAGACCCTCCCCCTCCCCCCAGATTCAGATGATCTCTTGAATCACTGGGCTGTGCGCACTAGACCCAGCTCTGATGTCACTAGGTTGGAAGCCAGCCAGGCAATCGAGGAAAAGCTAATGGGGTGTAAGGGATGTGCGTGTGCTCATCGAAGACCAGAGTACTCATGGCAGAGTATTCACATGCCTGGTAGCCAACCCACCACCACCCAAGTGTACCAACACGGGATGGGTTCATCAACATCATAAAACCTAAAATCCTATGCACATTATATGCAATACTAGAGGCCCGATGCACGAAATCATGCAAGGGGCTCGGCCCTCGCAGCCCCGGCTGCCTCAGCCCTCACAGCCCCGGCTTTGTCCGGAAGGCTGTCCGGATGGTCATTCCACTGTTCGGCCGTTCGGTCAATTTGCATATTACACTTTTATTATTATAGATACGTGATATTGTATGCTTATGTAGCCAGACGCCCTTAACTCCAGAGAAAACTGCACCTTCGCCCATACGTGTCCACAGCAACACCCTGAGAGATGAATGATGCCTTCCTGTGGAGGACAGGAGCCCTCACCATGAAGTAAAGTGGGAGAGAGAAGCTGGCTGAAAGCTGACAGTGGGCGCAGGATTTGCACCTGCAGCCAAGGAAAACTACCCCTCCACAAAGGAGTCCAGGTGGGAGACAGATGGCAGGCGCTCCTAAAGAGAGGGTGGCCGCATCTGATAGCAATGGTCCTACTGTCCCACTACCCACCCCCACCCACCCCCGAGACAGCTATGCCTCAGGCTGCCTGGCCTGGAACACTGATAAGTAATAAAATGTAAGAGGATGAGCAGCTAGAGCCCTGGGACAATGAATTTGCTATTTCAAACTTTTCTCAAAACAAAGCAAGAAAACTGCAGTGGAAAGCAGCGTGTGGGAACCACGGGCCTCCCTGTGATTACACTGCACGCACAAACAGCTGCTTTCCTGCTGGGACCTGTGCCTTCCTCTGGTAATTGGAGGCTGGGAGCCAGGACCCTAAACAGTGTTTTCAATGCTTCCATTTAAGAATAAAGTTATTTCATTCTAAGGCAAAGCTACCTGGAGCCACAAGTTGAAATAAACAGATAATTGAAAATGAGCCACTAACATTTTGAATTCATACAGTGCTGCGTGTCAATGCATATAAACATATTAAATACTCGACAGGACTGGACACCCTGACACCTCTCATAGCAGGTGCAAGGGAGGCACATGACCTGAGACGCCTGGGGTCACTAAATAGAGCTTGTACTGCAGTTTCACTCTGGTTTTCAGAAAGCAAGCCAAGCGTAAACGTGTCTGTTTTATATTTCTGCTCTTAATTTTTTCTTTCAACCCAATTCTTTTAAATTAAGTTTATTCCATTTTCTTTTATGATTAAAATAACTGTGTTTTATCTCTCAGTCACCTTAATTTAAAGATTCTATTTTATTTCTGCTTCTTTGTTTTCTATCTTTTATTTTGTCTATATTTCAATGATATCTACTCTCAGTATACTGTAAGTTTTTAATTCCACAGTGCTTATTTTTTATAATAAATATTTATTGTTGAAAGTCCCCCCTTTTTTCCCCATTGCCCTCTCCCACCCTCCTTCCCCTCTCATTAAAAGATATAAAAATAAGCACTGTGGTTTAGCATATAGTTTTCAGCTTATCAAGTGGAGGAATGAATCATGTCAAATTCCTCCTAAGAAATATGAAGAAATTATTGAACTACAGACTTCCTCAACCCTGCCCCACTTCCCTACACACACCCTAGCTTTGGCTGGTATGCTCTGGGATTTTGAAATCACTACTATGTTACATTTAAAATTTCATTTAAAACCTATATTTTATTCAAGAAATTATAGTATACATTATTCAAATTTTACTTCTGATGATAATTAGACTCAATTCTATGTTTAAATAGATTCAAAAGCCACAGCCATCCCTTCAACACCATGAATTCCCCCACTCACAGATTCTTTATCTTCGTTTTTTCCCCTAAGTTGGTGAATTGAATATTTAGGAGGAGCTCTGGGTAAGGAAGATAAGCTAGTAATGTATTTCCTGAGTCTGATACATAGGGAAGTGTTGGCTGCGTTTACCTGGGAATAGTAACTTAGTCAGATAGGGATTCTTTAAGCCACACACAGTGCTCCCGGTCTTCTAAGAGTAGAACATTAGCAACACGGGACCTACAGTCATACATACATTTCCCTTTAGCTCTCTAATGACTGCTATGTGACATTTACAGATAACAAACTTTTCTTCTGACTCTAAACTCAATGTTCTCATCTACAAAATGGAACTATTACTTAACTCTCAGGTTTGATGTAAGAAATTAATGACATCCTCTATATTAGTGCTATAATAGAAATAGAAATGAACCACATATTAGTTTAAAAATTTCTAGAAAACATATTTAAAAGGAAAAAATAATATTAATTCAAACAATATATTATGCTTTACCCAATCTATAATAATAAAAGGGTAATATGCTAATTAGACCAGATATCTTCCGGACGTCATTCGGGACATCCTTCCTGACAAAGCCGGGGATGGAGGGAAGATGGCCAGGGTCCCGGGTGCCTGCAGGCGGCCAGAAGAGGGAAGCAGCCCAGGTCCCAGGTGCTGGAGGGAAGCCAGCGCCGGCAGCCGGGGGAAGGAAGGCCTACTCTTGCATGAATTTTCATGCATCGGGCCTCTAGTATATTCAATAATGCATTGTTATTTCAACATGTACACAATATAAAAATATTAATGAAATATTTCATTCTTCTTATACAACGTCTTCAAGATACAGTGTATATTTTAAACTCATCACATATAGCTATAGCATACATTTGCATATAGCATATATAAATTTGTAATTGCCATATTTCAAGTGCTCAGTAGGCATAAGTGGCTACCACACTGCTCAGTGCAGAGAAATCCTATCTAATAAAAAGCTAATGTGCTAATTAAACCGAACAACAGAACAACCGTCCGGACAACCTTCCGGACGAAGCTGGGGCTGCGAGGATCGAGGCAGCCAGGGCTGCGAGGGCCGGGGCTGCGAAGGCTGAGTCCCTTGCACAAATTTCGTGCATCGGGTCTCTAGTAGAATATAATTCAACAGAATATCTTGCATAAAAAATATGTACTAAAGTGTACATATTTTTATTGTTTTATTTTAACACTAGAGGCCCGGTACACAGATTCGTGCACCAGTGGGATCCCTTGGCCTGGCCTATGCCCTCTCACAATCCGGGACCCCTCGGGGGATGTCCGAGAGCCAGTTTTGGTCTGATCCCTGCAGGCCAGGCCAAGGGACCCCCAGTTTTGGCCCGATCCCCACAGGCCAAGCCAAGGGACCCCACTGGTGCATGAATGCATGCACTGGGCCTCTAGTATGCATATAAGATCTTTGGTTAATCTCTTCCCACCCCGCCCCCTCCTTCCCTCTGAGATTCATCAGTCTGTTCCATGTTTCCATGCGTGTAGTTTCCACTCCTGCATTGAGCATCAGCCCCCTGGTGGTCAGTGCGTATCATAGCTACCGGCTAGTCAGCCAGTGGCCAGTCACTTAGGCCTTTATATATATACTAGAGGCCCGGTGCACAAAAATTTGTGCACTCGTGGGGGTCCCTCAGCCCGGCCTATGCCCTCTTGCAGTCTGGGACCCTCGGAGGATGTCCACCTGCAGGCTTAGGCCCACTCCCTGGGGGATCAGGCCCAAGCTGGCAGTGAGACATCCCTCTGGCAGCCCGGCAGCCCTCGGGGGATGTCCACTTGCCAACAGGGAGCAGACCTAAGCTGCAGTTGGACATCCTTAGCGCTGCTGAGGAGGCAGGAGAGGCTCCCACCACCACCGCTGTGCTGGCAGCCATTAGCCTGGCTTGTGGCTGAGCAGAGCTCCCCCTGTGGGAGCACACTGACCACCAGGGGGCAGCTCCTGCATTGAGCATCTGCCCTCTGGTGGTCAGT